CACAGAACAAGTTGGCCGTGTGAGGCAGCTTGTGTCTACAATCCTAGTTCTGCAGAGGCAGAGGCAGGGACAGGCACAGAAGGACCCCTGGGGATTGCTGGTCAGCTAGTCTAGCTAATCAGTGGGCCCCAGGCTCAGCGAGAAACCCTTTCTAAAAAAAATGAAGGCCAGCAAGATGGCTTAGCAGGTAAGTGCTACTGCCACGCAGGCCGGATGACCTGAGTCTGATACCAGGAACCACAGTGGAAGGAGATTGACCCCTGAGAGTTGTCCTTTGACTTCTATGTGGTGCACACACACTTGTATCCACACACTACACTGACACGCTACACTCACATACTGCACTCACACACTACACTCACATATTACACTGACACACTACACTCGCATACACATTACACTCACACACTGCATTTATATACACTGCACACACACAGTGCTTCACACACACTGCACTCAAACATACTGTGCTCTCACACACACTGCATTCACACACACTGCATTCATATACACACTGTATTCACACACTGTATTCATGTGCACACACTGCACTCACATTCACCGCATTCACACACACTGTATTTATGTGCACGCACTGCACTCACACACTGCATGCATTCATACATACTGTACTCACACCACATTCACACACATGCACGCACACACGCATGCACACATGCATGCACACATGCACCATGAAATAAAAATAATATTAAAAAAAATAAGGTGAAGTGATTGAAGAAGCTATCCGACACCAACCTGTAGCCTTGTGTGCACGCTGACACCCACACATGTACACACACACACTAAAAATGAGTGTGTATACTTTAAATCGAAAGCCTTCAGTTTTTGGTTGGTTTTTCCATTCCCAGCAATGAGTCATCTTCCCCTTTGATTCTCTGACATGACTGAACTTGCTTATATGGGTGTTCTGATCTTTTTTTTTTTTTTTTTGCTTATTACCTTGAATGTATATATTCTTTTCAGTTTTTTCCCTCATGTTTATTTGTTTACTGTTATGGAGGGCACATGCCATTGTGTCTCAGATCAAGCATGTGTGGCTATTAGGGCACTTTCAGGAGTTGGTTCTCTTTTTGTGAGTTCTGAGGCTCAGGCTCAGGTTGTTAGGCCTGGTAGCACCTTTACCTGCTCAGCTGTCTTGTCTGCTCTAGTTTTTCTTAAGATAGAGTCTCACTGTGTAGTTCAGGCTAGCCTTGGACCCACTGCCCTATCTCTTGAGCATTGGAGTTGTCTACGTTTGTTTGTTTTGTTTTGTTTTTTAGACCAGGATGTTTTTCTTCCATTCTTCTTTGACATCGGCTCTGGCTCTGTAGCCAAGGCTGTCCCATAGTCCTCAAACTTGAAAGCCTCCTCAGTCTTCTGAGTGCTGAGATTACAGGCATACACCACATCCAGCCAAAAGTAGAACTTTTAGTTTTTATTTATTTATTTTTTTTTTGAGACAGGGTTTCTCTGTGAGGCCTGGCTGTCCTGGAACTCACTCTGTAGACCAGGCTGGTCTCAGACTCAGAGATCCAGCTGCCTCTGCCTCCCAAGTGCTGGGATTAAAGGTGTGCACCACCACTGCCTGACCAAAAGCAGAATCTTACTGTTTTTATCTTGGAGATCCAGAACTCTACGTAGACCAAGCTAGAGTCCAACTTAGAGAAATCTGCCTGCCTTTGCCTCCCATTTAGATGGGCCACTAGTTGTTGCAATGTTGTTTAGTTTTTACTATTTATTTTAATGTATTTTATGTAAATGGATGTTTGTTTGCATGTATGTCTTACACATAAGAAGAGGACATTGGAACCCATGGATGTAGATGGTTGTGAGCCACCATGCTTGTGCTGGGATTTGAACATAGGACCTCCAGAAGAGCAGCTAGTGCTCTTAACCACTGAGCTATGTCTCCAGCCCTGCATTGCAACCTTGCCTTTATTTTTAATTTTAAAAAATGTGCATGTGTGTGTGTGTGTAGACACTGTGCCGTCGGGCATGTGGGGGGTCAGAGGTCAAAGGTCAGAGGACAACTTTCAAGAGTGGGCTCCGTCCTTCCACTTTGTTGAGACAGGATTGCTCTTGATTTGGCTCTGCCGAATCCTGCAGGCTCACTGCCCCATGAGTCTCTGGCTCCCATCCATCTTGCTGCCTAAGTCGTGGGAACACATATGACTTTTCTTACGTGGGTCCTGGTGACTGAACCGGGCACTAGGCTGGTACTGCCAGTGCTTTCAACAGTCGTGCCCTGTGCCCCCGGCTCCCTCGCCTTGTTTTTTGAGACGGGGTCTCTCATTATCTAACTAAAGCTCACTAGGGAGACTCAGCTGGCCGGCCACGAAGCTCCGAGGATCTGCTGTCTCTTCTTCAGCACTAGGATTACAAGTGTGTGGCACCATTAGTTTTTTTTTTTTCTTTTCCCGTGGTTTCTAAGGATGAAGCCCGGGTCCGCCTGTGCTTGTGTAGCAGGCAGTTTACTGAGGCTCCCCGTATTACATTTCTTTTTACAACCATCCTGGTTCTTCCATACTTTGTTTCCAATTGTTCACTTGTGTCGAGTAATTGTAACATTTTAACATTACATATATACCCTTGCAGACTTAGGTGAGTATATCCACAGGATGGACCTTTATGATGTAATTTCTAAGTATAGTATACATTTTAACAAATATTGACAACGGTCCTCCAGAATTGCAATGCTAATTTACATCTCCGCTGATAGGCTGCACAAAACTCCATTTTCTTTTTTGTTTGTTTGGGTTTTTTTGTTTGTTTGTTTGTTTTCATTTTTTGAGACAGGGTTTTTCTGTGTAGCCCTGGCTGTCCTGGAACTCACTCTGTAGACCAGGCTGTCCTCCAACTCAGAAATCCGCCTGCCTCTGCCTCCCAAGTGCTGGGATTAAAGGCGTGCGGAACCACTGTCCAGCTCTATTCCTTTTATGCAATGGGTAGTTTGCTTGTTTGTAAGTGCACCACAGACATGCCTGGTACACGTGGAGGTCAGAAAAGGACCTCAGATCCCCAGGACTGGAGTTGCAGAAAGTTGTGAGCTGCCATGTGGGTGCTGAGAATTGAACCCAGGTCCTCTAGAAGGGCAGCCAGTGCTCTTAAATCACTGAGCCATCTCCCCAGCCCCCTTACTGTCATGTAAGAAGCAATAACAAAATCCAGAAGCCTGTGAGTACTGTACTAATCCAAAAATGGACTCATTGTTTTTATGTCATTAACAAGATTAAGCAGGTTTCCAATCAGGCTTCCCAGTTCACACTGTAACCTTAGCATTTGGGAGAAGGAAGCAGGAGGGTTGTCATAAGGTCAGGGCCAGCCATGGGGCCTGCTCAAAATAAGCATTGTCCCAAGTGATTTTATATGAGTACACTGTTGCTGTCTTCAGACACACCAGAAGAGGGCACCGGATCCCATTACAGATGGTTGTGAGCCACCATGTGGTTCCTGGGAATTGAACTCAGGACCTCTGGAAGAACAGTCAGTGCTCTTAACTGCTGAACCACCCCCTACCCCCTAACTCCATTTTTTTTTTTAAGACAAGTCTAAGTAGTCCTAGCTGTCCTGAAACTCAGGGCCACCCCTGGACTCACACAGATCCACCTGCCTCTGCCTCCCAGCACTGGGATTAAAGGTGAGCACCACCGTGCCTGGCCTGCCATTTTCCATGAATTTTTTTTTTTTCCTGATAGATCCAAACATTCTGTATGAGATTCTTTGTCATACGTACTAAAATAATTTTAGTTGGTTCTCATGAAATTGTTCTCTCCCCCTTTAGTCAAATACATTGCTTGTGCCTGTGGCTTCTGAGTGTTTTGTTGCGTGGAAGGGACTCCACACTTTACAATTGCTTCTGTTCAGACACCTCCCTGTTAAGGAGCCCATCCTGTGTGTTCTGTGCTGTGTGCTCCGGCCACATGGTCCCTTTCTCCATGACTGTTCCTTGTCTGTCCTTCTACATTGTTTCAGTAACAGCTCACCTCTCATCCCGAGAGTCTCCTGTATGCACTGCAGGGGACGGGCTTCCCTTTCTGAAGCCCTGAGGTCACATTAGCCAGCATCTGCTTTTGGATGCGGGGTCTGACACGTAGCATGGGTTGGCCTGGATCTGAGATTATACCCAGTTCATGATTTTGTAATGTTAACAGTATATCCAGACTCATTCTCTATATCCATTGTGAGCCCTAAAAAGGTTCAACATACTTGGGTGCTGGGGCCTTAGTTACTCTGGTTTGACATACTTG